CCCCAAAACCCCAAAACCCCAAAACCCCTTCTTGACAATAATATTATAAAATTCAATACAACTGATTAAATGTCTTCTGAGGAGTCAAGTGCATCTGAATGTTTCCGAAAAGCTAGAGAGTAACCTACCATTCATTCATTTCACTGTATTTTCGGCACGCTTATCTTTATTCTGAGCTATAATTTAGAGCAATTCCACAGAACAAGAAGCATCGAAAATCAAAAAGTAAGAGTAATCATTACTTAATTTTAGGCATCTTCAGCTATATTTGCTGTGGGTTAGTTAACAATCCAGAAAAATTACAGTCTTCAAAGGTTAAGCCTCAAATAAATTCTGAGGAAGATGCTATCAGAGACAACTTAAAAGAAGCAATAATGATGAGGAACACTAAAATTAGAGAGACACCTGGTAGCCTTACTGATAAGCTTGATAGTAGCGGAAGAATTCTTCTTCCTAAATCTCATTTACAAGAAGAGTATCTTTAGAATAACCATATAGAGAGAAAACTTATGAAAGCAGACTAAAATTACTTGGAAGACAGATGGGTGATAATAAAGGAAAAAAGACAATTGTACTAAACCTTGATGAAACTCTTATCCATTCCGTATTTACTAACGAAGATGATTCAGATTATCAATTCAATCTTGTATCTGCAGGAAAGGCGTACAACATCAGTACATACAAAAGGCCTTATTTGGAAGAGTTTCTCGATCATATTAGTAAATAAGTTTGAAGTTGTATTCTATACTCCTGCAATTTCTGAATACGCAAATGCAATTATCAACAAAATTGATTCCAATAATATAGTCGCTGGTCGGCTTTTCAGAGACTCCTGAAAGATCGAAGATAATCCAGAAACTTGTAAGTGCCTTCCAAATAAAAGGTATTTAACTCTTATGTAGGAGGCTTTGGCAAATAATTTCATTAAAGATATATCAAAGCTTGGAAGATTACTAAATAATGTTATTGTCTTGGATAGCAATACCATGACATGCATAGAATGTATTCAAAACACTGTCCCTATCCGTCCATGGTTTCGAGACAAATAAAGACAAAGAATTGAAAGAAATTATTCCTATTTTAGACTCATTAGCTAAAGTAAAAGACGTAAGGGTCGTGATTCAGAACATTATTGATAAAATGCCAAATATTGATAAGGAGAAGAAAGGGAAGTACAATACTCCCTTCCAGAACCCAAAATAACATTAAATACAAAGACAGGTAATTTGGATAAATAACTTAAAGAGATAACTATTACAATATTATGGGAAATTACATAACAAGTTTACAAGAATATAATCCAAAGAAGGCGGCCATGATTAAATAAATACGAACCTCTTAAAAAGAAACCCAAAAAGATAGGAAAATTAGGAAGACTTGCTGGAGATTTGATTATTTTTAACCATAACCAAGGAATTCATCAGGTAGATGATACAATTGCTGGTGAAGGAAAGAACAAAGTATCAACAGATTTCAAAGATTCTAATATCTCAGCGAGCCAATCTACAACGACCAATATGAAGTCTTTAGTTAGAACATTTTTAAAAGCTAGCACAGACCAGCCTAATGAAGAAGTTTCTAAGATAGAAAATTCTTATCATTGACAAGAAACACATAAAGTAAAATTCCTCCACTATATATTTCTAACAACACCATCTAGAGTGAATCAGAACCAAGCTTTGCAGAACACCTTTTCAAAAAACTCAAAAACCCTACCTCAGAAAGCGAAGGAGAGAGTGAATCCTCTTCAAAAAACAACAACTTCGGAGTCCCTGAAAAGAACAGAATGAGTGAACAACTAAAAACATTTTTCTGCTTCGACCAATAAATTCAATTCTGCCTTACTTCTCTGGGGTTTTGGGGTTTTGGGGTTTTGGGG